GCTGAATAAACGTCAAACAGAAAACTAATTAAACAAAGTGTGAGACGGTCGAGAGTTTACGTCGGCACCTGGTTATATTTTAGATAGCAAGGAGCAGACGGCTGAGTTTCACTCCACCGAGGGAGCTCATGACGTACTACCCGGCTTTCTTTAGACCACGAAGGCCGGGTCCTCAGGTGGAAGCAGCCTCTGAATTTGGACACCCCCGCTGTTTCCGGGCCGGCCAATAATAACGGTGACATTTAACGTATTTTATCCGATAAATAAACACTGTGAAATGTATTTATCACCCCCCAACAGCACTTTTGAATGTCTCTCTAATTCTGAGGTCTCAAGGTTGGAAAGTATGGCCACAAAACCTCAGTTTTTGCCACATGTATCGCAAACCACGTCTCAGCGGTTTGTGGAGGTAAAGTATGTCCGTATAATTATGCTCAGCCATTGTCATGAGTGCGCACGCCAAGGGGCTGCGAGACATTTATACAGCCGTATTTCGCACATGACTATGAAAGGCGGAAGAGGAAGTAGTTCCTTTGAATGTAGACTATCCGAATGTTATAGTTTCTTTCCACTGTGTTCCTGTTAATGATAAACTACAAATTTACCCTAAATTACTAAAATATCGATATTTTAATGTGAGAATCGATTCTAGAATATAAATGACTGGTATCGGAGGAATCGATATTTCAGGATCGATCCGCACATCACTATACATTAGCCGTGCAAGAGAAGCAGAATGAGAGCCTTCCCATAACCAGGCATATGTCGACACCTGAACACATTTTACTCTGAATGTGACAAAGCACTAACTTGAAACATCTAATGTGATTCTTGTCTCACTAGGAAATTAAGAAATATTAGTGCCTGTTCCAAGGTTGTTATACTTAACTAAAAGTAACCTAAAGATATGTAGGTTATCTTTATTAACCTAAAGAAAATTACGTATGAAAAACTTACTAACATGAAAACTCAAAACTAAACTTTAAAAAGAAAGGAAAACTAGCTCAAGATATGTTGCACTTGGGCAAACAGAGCTTGCTCCTTGCTGTCATTTATATACTAAGATGCAGCCAGTTCAATAAAAACCATCAATCTGCTGCCAGCAGGACGAGTTAGAGGCTCAATCCTGAGGAGACGACTAACGTAAATTTTCCTTGAAGTCGATAAAGTGTTTTTCGAGGTCAGGAAAGTGGTTAGGAGTAGGAGGTAGGAGGTACTTTTGAAACGCACCCGTGGAGTTGGCAGTAACACGCCTATTGTTGGCCTTCAACCGCGGAAGAAGAGAAGAAGAAGAAGTGGCATCTTGTAGGACAATTTTCTACTTCCGTGTGGGATCACGGAGACCCGGGCTGAGGGGCCTGCTATCGGACGCGTTAGGGAAATAAAGAGAGGCTCGTCGGTTTAGACCATGCGGGCAACTTTAATCTGGAGGCTGGTGAAGTTACTCAGCGCTGCCGCTGTGCTGGCCCTGACTGCGCATATCGTAGCGAGCTCACTGAGTAAACAGACGCCAGAGCCCAGCCCGCTTCCCCCGGAGGAGTACCGTCTCGTAGACCCTCAGACATACCGCTACCTCCTCAATCAACCCAGTGTTTGCAGGCACAGGAGCCCCTTCCTATTGTTCATTGTGCCCGTGGGGGCTGAAGACGCTGCGGCACGGGAGGCCATCAGGAAAACGTGGAGCGCCTCTGGCCGGGACACCCTGACTCTTTTCTTTGTGGGGATCCCACAGAGGCCACAGATGTCGGCCCTCCAGCAGAAACTGGAGGAGGAGAGCAGGCAGCATGCAGACATCGTCCAGATGAACTTTGTGGATAATTACCACAATCTGACAATCAAAACCATGATGATGATGAGGTGGCTGTCTACTTACTGCCCCGGTGCGTCCTACGCCATGAAGGTGGATGCAGACATCTTCGTTAATGTCTTTTATCTGATCCAGTGGCTGAGGAACTCCCCCAAGGAGAACTTCATCACAGGGTCGGTGATCCAGGATGGCAGGCCACGGCGGGAGCCCAACAGCAAGTGGTACGTGTCAGATGAGCTATATCCAGAGGAGAGCTTCCCCTCCTACGTGTCTGGAGCCGGTTACGTGTTCTCCGCTGACCTGGCAGCCAGGATCTCCTGGGCCTCCAGATTTGTGCGGGTCATCCCTTTGGAGGATGTCTATGTGGGCTTGTGCTTGCGGATGCTGGGTGTCAGGCCTGTGTACGCCTACAGCCTGCCATTCTTCAGAAGCCTGTTCGAAATCAAAAACCTGAAGTACGACAGGTGCACCTTCGCCAAGTTGATCATTGTTAATGGCTTTAAGGCACCAAAGCTGCTGAGGGTTTGGCAGGACTTTACCAAAGGCCACGAAAGATGCTGATCACATTTACCTGGTGCCTTGCAGGCAATTCTAAGGGAGTAAGCCTGCTGTGAAGGAAAGAAGGCCAGCTGACACACAGAGGTTAGGGTGGCAAACAGCATCAGCTAGTCAGCTGATCAGTCTATCAACAGAAAAATATCTTCTTGAAAACCTTTTAGGTCTTAGTTTAGACTCATCCTCATCAGTCTCCTTACTCAATACTGAATATTTGGCTTGTAGCTAGCCGCTATTTTCATAAACAGAATTATAGCAGATATGTTTTCAAATCTACTAATAAAAAGAAAAATAGGAACATTTTTGTATTAACACTCAACTCAAAAGTTGATCAATTACTCATTCAGGCAAAAAAAACCCTTTTGTGATAAGTTAATTGTTTAATTTATTTCTGTGCCAAAGGTTTGGCGGTTCCACCTTGTCAAATGTGACACTTTGATATTTCTTTTTGTCATAAATTACACTAAACTCAATCAGATGAGTTGCTGAAGAATATGATCGCTGTAGGGAAAGTGAGAATGAAAATGGTTGTTGCCTTAAATTTTAAAACCGATGAGGAAAGAAAGTATGTTGAAAAGTTGCTCAACTCAGACATGTCAGTAACATCAAAGATCAGATGTGCCTAAACACTGATCAGAATAAAACCCTGCCAGTGAGTACTGATCTACCTCCTTGGGCTAAGGCCACGTTAAGACACAGCTTTAAACCTTAGCTTCAGTTAGTAAGTCACACAAGTCATTTAAAAAATGACTTGCCACCTTTTTTATTTTGTGATATTATTTTTGACCCAAAAAATAATCAAAGAATTAAAAATGTGACCGAATTTTCTGTTGTTTGGCTCATCAGTGGGCTCAACATGTATGTTACAGTCCCTTCCTTGAGCAATCAACAGTTCTGTGATCTTTGAAAGAAAATGTGTATTCACTGCAGTGCTTCAGCTTCTTTTACTGCTCCTAGCCTATGCCAAAGAAGTGCTTTTATACCAAAGGTTCTTTGAAAGTATTCTCCCATTAGTGCCCGATGGGTTTAGGGTCTATGTGTACGTGGAGTCACAAAACCCAGCACAACACAGTACTTTTATGCTTAGTTTTTGCTTCCTGTTTGAATTGGCGACAGGAAGTTATGGTAAGTCGCTCAGTTAAGACTCATGGATGCCCCCTCCTCTGAAGCAGTTTGCCCTTTATAGAGTTCAGCAGCAAAAAAACAAAACAAAACAAAACACAGCATTTCAAGAGAGCAAAGCTGTACTGACACACATATTTCTAAAGCAAAGCGTTCGGTGACTAGTCATATGTTGTCTGAATTAACATTTTGTTTTTGTGTGTTTGTCAGATTTAGATTAAGATCAAATCCCGGTCCTCAGACCTGCACCGTGACATTTCTTTATACTGCAGAGAAAAATACCAAAGATGCCTCACCAGTAGCTCGTGCACTGCACTTTAATACAGGTTTGTTGGAATGAACGGTTTTTGCATGATTCTCGATGTGTTAAACAAAAATGTCTAAATTGCACTGATTACTTTATACTGCAACCAAGCTATGTGTATCCTGCAGCTTTTTTTGTCAGGGTCCCGTTTACTCATGCATACTAGTCATACACGACAAACCAGCAGGTGGCAGTAGTGACTTGAAGATGAGAAATCAGGTTTACTGCTGGTGATTTATTGTGATAACTGTAGGGTGTTGCAGAATGTTACCTGTGAGTTGGTTCAATATAATTTTTGCCTGTCAAACAGGAAGCCTGATCATCCCTGTTTAATATTACTGCTGCTGCTCCTTTGGAGGCTCCTTTGCCAACCTTGACAAATGCTGTTTCTATTTAACGTGTATAATTTTTATATAAATAAAAGTTTTGGAAAATGTGGAGTGGGGTGTTTGAGATGTTATGTGTGTTAAATAGTGGAGGAATTTTTCCATTTTTGTTATATTATTGCACAATATTTTTTAAATGTATCCTTGTTTAACTCTATTGGATTTGTTTTGGCCATAATTTATTATTCTGACAAAATATGAATTGAATGTGATTTATTGCAATTCAGAATTATAACAAGCCATTTGGTGAATAGATTACATGGGCCATCACACCATAACAGTATCCTGGTAGTGATATTAGAATAGGACCCTCTGGAGACTAGACGCTGGTGGTGATGAAGATGGTGGCTCTGGTGACTATGGGGTGCTTTTGAGGAGGGCGGATCAAATGAGAATCTGAAAGACAGAAGAGCACAGAGAATGGAGGCTTATTGGCTCAGAGAAGAGGGGAAAGAAGTTGATTGGACAAGAGCAGAGATATCAGCATTGAGTCTGACAGTTTGGGGAAGTGGAAGTGATCCAAAGAACAGACACACAGCTAGATTAATGTTCTGGTTCTTATATAGCACATTTCTATTTAATTTCAGCACTCAAAGTGCTTTCACGTCACTCACACACAACATTTATCTAACATTTAAACACGTTCTGGTGGATGCATCAGGGGCAACTCAGGGTTCACATCGACAGGAAGCACCAGAGATCAGTTCCCTAACCTTTGGACTGCTACATGAACCGCTTTACTGCCTGAGCCACAGCCACCTGAGATGTGTGATTACAGTTGTTCCCTATTGAACCTGTGTAGCAGCTTCATTTATTAAACATCCATTGTATTCAGTTTTGTTTTTTTCTCTTTTTGCTGTAACTAAAGAATTTCTGAATCTGTGTTACCCAGTAATTAAATGTGATCTTTATATTTATGGCATTTTGAACGAGTTTAAAAAGTCACTACAAGTAGGTCTGAAGTTCTTTGGCACATTGTTGGCACAATGGGTAAAATGTAAATAAAAAGAAAATTCAGTGTCTTCTGAATCTATTATATAAGATTCATATATATTTGTCAGAAAACCACATGAAGTTTGAGGAAAGTGTCATGTAGACAACAGCATCTTTCATCTTCAGAGAAGTCACGTTACAGTCAGTGTTGTTTCAACCGTATCCTTAAATGCATCTTATTCAGCCAAGCATGCAGCGACACACGCAAGCACCAGTGTGGACACAAGCACATGGCTACAACATCGCCTTCCTTACCAGTGCACCTCACTGCAATTCCTCTCAAAAGAAAAACACATTGGGGTATTTTCTATGGTGCTTCAATGGGGGATAAAGCACAGGTAGCACTGAAAATCCAGCCTGGAGAGAGTGAGAGCGCAGATGAAGATGGAAGTACTCAACAGTAGGAAAGCAGCAGGAAGAAGCTGAGAGTGAGAATGAGGAACTTGCTGGTGGTAAAAATAGAAGCACTGAAGCAGAATTAAAGCAGGATGTTTGATCGCTTCATTTATAGCTGGAATGTACTGCTGCTGGCAGACCTCTGTGAAAACAGCCAGTGTGAGGATGTGGAAAAATCTTCAAATGTTATGTATTGTAATGATTTTACAGATAATCCTAGAGGTGTCTGTAACTGCAATATTTCTAGCAACACTTTAACACATCAGAACGGGGCATCCTGTCCTGTCTGATTAGACGGTAATGTCACTTTTTGATGTATATTTTATGCAGGTTTTGATTGGCTGTGATTCAAGGTGTGGCCTGTGAAATTTTTGAGATTTCCACTAACTAAAAATTGGGCATAAACACAGCTGCAGTTTAGACCCACTGAGGGCTCTGTACACTGCTTAAGGTGCAGACAACAAAATTTAACAGGTTCTCAACCACTCCACCATTTTTTATTCAAATCAGAAAGGTCGTTGTTGTAGCACTTACAGATGGACAAACAAATGGGAAATACAGCAACACCCCTGGTTGAAGTAAAGGAAAAAAATCTCATGTTAGATAAGTAAACAAGAGAAAAAAAATGCAATTAGCATTTGATGCTGTGTAATGACTGGAGTGCTGACTGATGATTGCAACAGCACCAGTGAGTGGGCTCAGAAATGGACAGCTGAGTCTCCATGATTCACCAGCATGGCTGATTGTCAGCAGATGGCAGCCTCACAGCAAACCTGCAACACCCACAGCAGCCTCGCAGCTGACAGTCTGCATGTATTTTTTTCCCTTCTGAGCTGGCAGTAAACCAAACGCATCGCTCACAGGGAGAAGACGGTACCAGTGTTTCTTTCAAGAAGCTCGACACACCTCTTATGAACACACAGATATTCGTCAGCTTCTGGGCAACACGCCTGCGTGCAAGCTGACCTTTAAACTTTAACGTAGACACAGTTTTTCATAAAGACTGCATCAGATAGTTTCCAACAAGCAGTATTTGGTACGATCACCTTTATTCTTTAAAAAAAAAAGGAAGTTCCTCTCTGCATTTAACCCATTCACTCAGTGAAGCAGTGGGCAGCCATTGGGCACCTGGGGAGCAGTGTGTGGGGAGGGTACCTTGCTCAGGGGAATCGAACCCCCGACCTTCCGATCGTGGGGCCTCCACTCTACCTACTGAGCTATCACAGTCCAAGCTCTCTCAGGCAAGATCTCCTGTAATGTCTTTAAGCAGTCTTCAGGAATAGTTCTCCAGGCTTCTTGAAGGACAATCAGAGCTCTTCTTAGGATATTTCTGGTTTTTGTTGCGTTCACACAGCTTCAATAATGTCTGAGCTCCGGGAAGGCCAACCCATGACTGATAGTGTTCCACTATGTATTTTCCATTCTAGTTATTGGAAATCAGATGTTTTCCAGATGATATCACATAGTAGATCAAAAGATTTTTTTCTTCATCCCTAATTCAATCAAATTTGACAAGATCTCCAACACCACAGACTGAAATGCAGCCCCAAAATATGACAGAGCAGCCACTGCGTTGTACAGATGGCTGTAAACACTTTATCCTGAGCTTACATATCCATAACAGTTTGAAAAAAAAAAAAATCACATTTGGATTCATCACCCCATAAAAACATATGGCTTCTTGACAGTCACCTTTCCACTGACACTCTGCTGCCCTCAGGCGAATGTATGGCTATTCACCCTGTGCAGCGAGCTTAACATAAGAGGAGATGGTTCCAGGAACGACAGGACACATCGCTTTGTCTTTGTGTCTTTAACTGAAGACCGTTTTTTCCTCTTTTAATTTGTAAGACTGTGAACATACAGTAAAATAATACGTAAGCATCAGTATCAACATATTTTGTAAACAAAACAGAAGTTAGCAACATAGCTTTCCTTATGCTTTACATTCACCATAAACATCTTTCCTTATACGTTCAAATAACCTTTTAAGTAACAAATCTTACAGACAATGAAGTTAGACATTGCTTACTTACAGATTATGGCTCAACAAACTCCCCAACAATGTACACTGGGCTTAAAGTTTTGCAGCTTGTTCTCTGCTCCATGCATTTTCTCCCACTGCCTGCGTGAACTTTGCCTGCTGCTTACAACCCATCACCATAGGGGGCAGTGTAGTGCACACCAAATAGCCAAAGAAGAAGCCACAAACTGAAGGGGTAATACTGCCCACTATTGGGAAACCTGAGAAATGCGCCAGCCAAAGAAACCCAACAAAGTAACAACCGAGGGGCAGAATAGACACCATTACTGATGAGGCTTGGTGAACACTAGACGAATGAGCAGCTGAAGGTCCAAATGCATCTCTCGGTCCGGTGTCAGGTTTTTGCTTTTGCTCTTTTGCAAGCACAGGCCTTTAGATACTGTTCTTCTGCTGTAGGTGTTTTTTAGGCTTGCCACTTCTTCTTTTGTCCTCCAGTTGACTTTGACTGTGCACCACGATGACATATGCCAGGCTTTCAGTTAATAGCTCTTTTGGAATTACCCTTTTTTTGGGAAATACTATTTTATGTCTGTCAGACTGCGTGGCATTTATTTTAAATAAACAAATTGGAAAAAAAACATCAAACTAAATGTATATGCTGTTATAAGTGGAACTTTTTACGGTGTAAATATAACATATTCACTGCATTGCTTTGCTGTGGTGGGGACCTGGTCTTGCGTTTTGAAGCTGGCATTATGTAATTTGAAATGTAAATCAGACTAAAGGGACTAACAGGACTACCCTGTAAGGATTCCATTTTGAGATAATATGTCAATAAATAATTTTCTGGTGCTATCAAGTATGTTAATCCACAAATTATGTTGCTAATTACCTTGATTGATAGTGACAGCAAAGGGTTAGCCTAAATGATCCTGTATTGTTGTGTTACCCTTGTCATATACAGACCCCCGCGCCCCTACGTCCATTTTTCGTTTATTTGTGCGCGGTCTGCTCCAATCTATTCATTTCCCACACTGACTGAGTGGGAGTTTATGCTCTGAGCCAGTACTCAGCATTGTTCAAAACACTCCCACCTCTGTGCTGTATCTAGATACTTCTCATCAGTACGAACAGCTGTGACAGCACTGTATCCTTTATAGTCAGTATTGTTGTGAAGACTCAGCACAGGCTTGCAGGGCCCTTGAAGTACAATAGTTGCCCTCTAACAATACATTTAAATCCAGTGTGTCATAAAGCCTGTAAAAACAAAAATCGCCACTGTATGTGAAAATGTTCATCATTTCCTCAGTATCCTCCCGACATCAACACAGACTCTTTGAGGCTGTCTCCCTGCCTGCCCGCGCTGGCCGGCCTCCTCTCCTCGTGGGTGGAGTTTCATCCACCGACGTGCTGGTGAAGCTGGTTCCTAAGACAACACATGAAACATGCATTTGCATTAGCGAGGCTCGTTTCAACACCGACGCCGTGAGCTGACTTTACCACCCGCTCTCTGTGAAGAAAGCTACCACAACAACCGCGACTTCCTGCATACAGCGAAGTAGAGCGGATATATGATGCCAAGTATTTCCGCGGCACTTTAAAGCAGATCTGCACATCGACGCTGGGACTCAGTCTATGTAAGTGCTGGACGATTTAACAGAAAGTGGATTATGTTAAACGGTTAAAACTAAAGTTTGTCTGCCACTAGGCGCGAGATGCTCAGCACCATCCGAACTTAATATTGACTACAATGGAAAACACCAAACTGTGATAGTGCCCACTGGTTCCCAACCCAGGGGTAGTCATTCATAGTGCGGTCCCCAGAAACTCTGAAGAGGGGTCTTTTTTTTTAAAACTTAAAGTCAGATAGAAGAGAGAAAAGGGAAACGTGCTTTGTGGTTAGGTGTGCACATCCTTAAAGCTGTCTTAACAGATATTTACAGTTTACAGTTTAGCAACAGGACTAATTATAATGTGTGATATCAAATTTGTTTAGCATGGTGACAGATCCATTTAAAAGTGTCACCTCAGCTTTCTAAGCTGAGAAATGAAACCAGTGAAACCAAGTTCCAAAAAGCTGCAGTTCCTCTAATGTCCACTTGACTTTGACTGTAAAAATGAGTCAATCCCCATAGAATCTTATTTCAAAGTGGCCACTTTAAACAGGATTCAAACACATGCGTGTAACATGGTACAAAAAAATGTTGGCCTTTATGGATAGTTTTCATTTTTATGGCAACTCTTTAACGAGTGAATTCTGCTAAGTGAAGCTGCTAAAGTGGATGTCTCTGCTGTGTTTGAGCTGTTGTTCTCTGACAAATGATACGGCCTAGTGTGACGTACTGACCATTCAACTGCACTTAGTTTATGGATGCTGCTTGTTACTCAAGCTTGCTAGCGTTAGCTGCTGATTTTTGCACTGGTTAAAATATTGATATTCCAATTAAAGTACAGAATTTAAAATCAAGGTTAATGTTTTTGCTTTTTAAGGTTTATAACTCTCCTGGAAAGAAAAAAAAAATCACTCACTCAAATCACTTATCACTCTCCTGATAAGGAAGGATCACAGGTCACATGGTTTGTGGACCACTGTGACAGTGGTGTTAATTCAGCATCATGAATAATAATAATAATAATAATCATGAACAGGAAGGTTTGTATGTCTTTTTGTGCAAAGGCACTGATTTTGTTTCTTTAGCAGTTTTTAACCATAATGCATGAAGTAACAGCTGTCTCGTAGTTCAGTGTCCTGTCTGTCAATCAGTGTTTGTGTTATTGTTCAGTGTTGGTTGCTTGCTTGTTTTTCTCTTGTCTTGTCTTTGTAAAAAGCTGTGTGTGTGTGTGTGTGTGTGTGCTTTTTGACTGTGGTTCCTCCTCAGTTTCTGCAGAGGCTTCTGGATTTGTTCCACTACAAGATGCACATGAATAGCTTATTAAATCAGTGGAGTAAGTATTAAGATTTCTAATGAATTTCCATTCCATTTTCATGTTGTTTGCCAATGGATTGTAAATGCAATGACTCCAAAGCAATCTGACAGTGAACTGAGAAATCACAACTTTATCGCTCGTCTCGAGCTGTGATGTGTTTCGGTGCTGCACTGCTTACCGTAATGTCAGTGTGTCACCTCCACAGCAGCGGCTGTATGTGTTAAATAAGTGTGTATTTGATGGACTCTTGCTTTAAGCAGGTGAATCTGCTGTAGGGTATTTGTGTCTAGCTCTGCGATGTTCTGAAATAGAAAGACTTTGCTCAGCAGCAGCCTGTCTAAATGTGTCCAGAGATGGTGCGTTACAGAGGTGTCCCGTTACCTGGGCTCCATGTTCAACACATCCTGTGTAGGCTTGAAGTTACCAGCTACAAATGTCTGCATTTGACTTGGTGACTTGCTAAAATAACATGTCAGTTTTTATAAAAATGATCACAATAATGATAATCTGCACTGGAGCAGGTTAGAAGTTACAGTGATGATCCATCTGCGTTAAAAAGAGAGCTAACTTTGTGACACTGAAAACCTGTTAATGAATTGCTAACCCACGATGCGATGAACTTGTGGTTTGTTCTTACCTTTTGAAATGGCTGCTTTAAGAACAGGAACCAGGTTTGTGAACACTCGCAGTCGACTTGCATTGCATGCATTAAGACGGCTTTGTCAGTCTGCTATCAGGCTGCTGTCAGTGTGCACTCAGTTTGCGATTAACTTGGGTCAAGCTGTCAGTTAATTGCAACTGCATATTACTGTTTTTAGTAATATGGCGAGTAGCATCGATATGAAAATTATGAATCACTTGTACAGAAATGAACTACAAATACTTAACTAATTACTCCTTACTTTCCTCCACAAATTGTAATTTAGTTGCTGCGAAATGGCATGGGTAGAACTTGACAGGTGAACTAACTTTTATTTAAGGACCTACCCACTTGACATCTTTGAAGTTATATAGGCTTTGAGGCGAGTGACTGAACTCACTACCAATTGGAGCAAATATACTGCTTTCCCACATTAGCTGTGATAGCTGGAATAACTAGCTTCTGTTGGCTAGTTTCACTTGTGATCTTTTTGCTCTTTAATCATATTTAATGTAGTAGAGGTGAGTCTGAATTATCAACACTGTATTCCCTGTCAGTGTTGGTCAAGTTACTTGAAAATAGCAATAGTAATTGCTCATTTTCAAAAGTAATTAGTTACTTATTACTTAGTTACTTTTTAAAAACACAATACACACAATACAATGGGGTGGCTGTAGCTCAGGTGGCAGAGCAGGTCAGCCACTAACCAGAAGTTCGGTGGTTCGATCCCAGGCTGCTCCAGTCTGCATGCCAAATATCCTTGGGCAAGATACTAACCCCGCGTTGCTCTCCGATGCATCCATCGGAGTGTGAATGTGTATGAATGGTAGACTACTTAGCACTTAGGTCACAAAAAAGTGCTTGTGTGAATGGGTGTGATTGGGTGAATGAATTAGTTGTATAAAGCGCTTTGAGTGCTCAGACAGAGTAGAAAAGCGCTATATAAGAACAAGTCCATTTACCATTTACCATTTAATAAAGCAATAGACCTGTCAGCCCAATTCTATTTTTTTTCTGCATAATCCATCATATAAAATTGAATCTCTTTTTAAAATGTGTTTTATTGGCTTTAATCTTTTAATTTTACGCACATTAAATCACACAAAAATTAAATTATATGCAGAAAATAGGTTTAACATTTAAACCAACACTAAGTCCTGCTGCTCTTAAATCTGTTGTCACCTGTTTAGCAGGAGTGGGGCTGGTGGAGGTTTGCCCAGTGTCGCAGTCATGTCAGCGGGGGGATCCGAGGGTTTCTCTGTGAATGTCACATTCCCATGACCGTGTGTTAGGTGCTTGCTCAGATTAGAAGTTTCATTTTTCGCTGTAGAAAATTTTCTTTCCATGCAGAGTGTACAGCGGTGTACACCTTTTTACTCAGAGTAATGTCAGTACTTCCAAGCTTTAAATGCTGCATGGTCGAACTCTGTTGATCTACACACGTCTGTTGCTGCCACAGAGGTTGCACGCGCTTATGTCATTGTCATGAGACACTCTCACAAACAAAATCACAGTTTAGTAACGCAGTAATGCAGCGTGCTTATGAGAAAGTAGCAAGAATCGAATTACTTTTTTCGCAATATTAATCCCTTACCTAACTCATTACTTGAAAAAAAAAGTAATCGGATTACAGTAACACATTACTTAACACGTTACTGCCCATCGCTGTTCCCGATTCTGTATTCTCTTTGGTACTTAAGCTCATAAGTAGACCAAGCTAGTTGGCTTGTTAGATAGTTAAAACAATTTTTCTATTAGTGTAAATAAATTGATTTGGAATAGGTTTGGCTTTGATGTTGCTCTAGCTTAAAGGTGCTAATTGGCGAGCAAACTTTTAGAGTTTTAACATTATTTCTTGAAAGGTGTTGCAGCAGAAACAACATCAGTGGTGTGAAATATAAAAAGAACTTTGCAATAATATTGCTATTATAACATGAAAGTAGTAAAATACAGTTTTATTTATAGATTGTTTCTGTTGTTTTCCCATTACATTGTTGTCCCTGAACTCCTGGGTTTGTCTCTATTACGTATTACAAAAGATATGAGATTGTGCTAATCGCTGGCCAAAACAAACACCTACATCTGAGAGTTACCATATGACATTTTAGACAAAGAACCATATGTAAATATAATAAAATATTTTACTGCTTGCTCACACAGAATTTATATCTGGAGTTTTTCTGATGACGTCAGGCTCATCTTCTTTTCAATGGTCTGTAGGGGCAGTGAGTTAAATAAATTTGTATTTAGATTATTATCTCTGTTAGCCGATGGCGTTGTAATCTGCGTGCTGTTTCAAGGTCAGAATTTTACCGCCTTTTTGTTTACCTTCACACTTCTGCTACATGGCTGGGAATCTTGGCTGCCTTAGCTGCAGGGCTCATGTTTGCACTGATTGTGTAGGACGGATCATCCATTTAAAAAGCAGTTCTTAAGTAATCAGTGGTGTTTGCCTCAATCTATCACTGAGGGAAGGATTTCTTTATAAGCAGACTTGCTGTGGTGGAGAGGATTCTGTGATATACACACGTGTTTTGTTTTATTTTTATATAAAATCATACTGATGAGTGCATCTCGACTAAACTAAGTGCTCACCTTGCAGGTGGTAAATGCTGAGAATGTCATCTCTAAAATCTCATGTTGTTTTCCTCATATCTGCTCTCTGTGGTGTAAAATATCACAGAAAGTAACATCAGCACTTTTTAATGTGCTAACATTGCGAAAGGGTCTTTCTAAACCCAAACCATAATTTTTTACTTATACCAACTAACTAGTTTTGATGCATCAGCCAACATCAAGTAGTTTTTATGCCTTAGCCAAAGAGCTGAGTTAGGTGGCGAGTTTGTTTATCCCCTTGTCTCTCTTATAGAAAGTTTAATGCACGTTATCCACGTTGTGAAGCTTGAAGGTGAGCATTTTTACTGTAGCCATCTTTGTTTTTGAAACATCAAAAATTTACAAAGTGATTGCCACACTTTATCCAGTCAGACAACTCGTCTTCGTTGGTCGCTTGGGGTGGAAATGCACTTTTTTCCTATATAGCCTGAAGTTGACAAACATTGATGTTTGGCTCAAACACTGGATGAGTTCAGTGTTGCTGCAGCGATGGTGGGAGGCAGTAGAAGGGGACAGAGATACATTGTGCTGTTTCCACATTTTGTATGACCTCCAGCGCTGTTTTCAGCCCACTCAGCCATCTTGTACAAGTGGTGTCTTGTTCTCAAATGGCATTTTTCTTTTTCAGAAGAAAATATAGAGTGAGGCATCTCTCTGCCCAGTGTTTCCATAAGCGGTTGGGTGTCACTCTGTTGTGGAATAGAATCTTCACTGTTTGTTTGCATGCCATGCATAACCACAGAGAGAAAGAGAGACACTCGCTAATAGGGCGAGACTCCCAGATGGCCTGATTGCATTTGGAAAAACCCAAGGATTTTGGTTGATCAATGAACATTAATTGACGTTTTATAGACCGTGCGCATAGACACATGCAATCCTTTTACGCCACTGTCGTCATGGGTACCATATGGGTCACATGTGCTGGTGAAAGTTCTCAGTGGATCTATGGTTACAATCAACTTATGACAGTGCAACAGCTTGAGGTGGTTTTAAACAAATGCCATTTTAAGTGTTTATTTTATTTGCTTTTCAGTTAATTAGTTTACTGTTGCTTAATTGGGGGTTTGGTTGCTACATGTTACCATGTCTTAAATTAAATCTTATATTAATATAAAATATACCCTTCTCTTTTAGCTCAATAAATCAAAATGCATGCTGTGTGTAAGCATTGTGTAAAATATCTTGTCTCTACTGTGAGCTTCACCTGCCATTCCTGTACACAGCAGAGCTTTTCACACATGCAAATACCAAGAGGGGAGAAAAGTTTAGGAGACGATGTAAGTGCGTGTCTCTGCAAATGCACAGTCACATTATGCTTCAATTTAGGGAAAAAAAACAAAAGAAAAGAATCAGTCGGGCAATCAGAGATCAGTGCTGATCAGTGTCGCTGTTCCACACACATTAATTTCAAAGTAGCACAGAATTCTCAGTACGAACCTGTGTACTTTCACTTATGCACAACTGTGTTGCAAGGTGTGACATAAAACCGCAACGAGGCAGATTCAGTTGATTTTGAATCTTGTAATAATAATTTTATGCAAAACATTGCCTTGCCTGGCCAGCTGTTGCCACTGGCGATCACTGATATTATTCGTTGGCACAACCCGAGTATGCTAGCTCGTCTTTGAGGCAGTGACGCAGCTACTAAAACAACAGATACTACAAGAGATGCCAAATAAACTTATTTAAACATTTATATATACTCTTCAGTGTTTTACTGTTTAATCTCACAACAAAATGAATCTTGTTCTCCAGCGATGAC